GTTGGGGCGGTGGAGGACTGGGTGCAGGTGAGCGCCGCGACGGGCCATGGCAAGGGCAGCTGGGCGCGCCCTTGCTGCTTCAACGAGCCGCGGAGCCAACGTCCAACGCACGCGTGTTCGCCGCGCGTTTGAGCGCGCTGACCGCGGCGACGGGCCACTGGCTGGGCAGCAACCGGCGGCGCTGCCGCCGCCGCAGCCGTCCATCCGGCGCGGCTCGTGCGTGGGCGCCGACTGCAGTGTTCGCCGCGCCACACCAAGCCGGCCCCCTCCCAAACACGCGCCCGCCAAAACCCGCTGCGCCGCAGGGCCTGGAGGATCTGCCCGAATCATGGAGCCCCGGCCGGTGGTGCCTGGCCACCAGCCTGCCCCGCGTGCTGCTGCAAGACCGCGCCCAACCCGTCTCTGCCGCCGCCGGCGGCGCCACCAGCCTCGCCCTCTTCTTAGTGCAGCTCTAATAAACCGCGGTCGAAGGAGAAGTCCATGGCCAGGCCACGTCACACTGCGGCCTTTCGGCGGCCGGCCTGGCCCGCGTCGACGCGCTCATGCACCCGCACATACACTGTTTTGCACTTTGCTCGGGCCTTTCGGCCGCGCCGGCGAGAGGGGAAGCCGCGGGCGCGCCGCCCTCTTTCTTGGGGCTGGCAGGCGCCTGGAGGCGCCTGAGAGGGAATGAGGGAAGGTGCCAATCGAACCTGCTGCTATTCAAACAAGCAAAGAGGCAGCCTCACCAACCAGCGATTGCAACTTGGTTTTCCCCCTTCGAGTGTTGTTGAATTGCGCCGCACATTGCATAGTGCACCTCCGTGTACAGACACTCAGGAAAGCACACTTGTGTTGAACTCAGCCCGGGGAGGGGGTGCTTCATCGTCCAGTCGTGTTTGACTGGATTGACCAGCCTCGCGCCACCTTGGGCTGTCCTTCCTAGGTGTTGGGTAATCTGTTGACGCCAACCTCACGCGACCGAAAAGCGTCTCAGGAGGGTATTGATGCGGGCACCTCATGTTCGGCTGACGCCGACGCAGTGGTGGGGGACAGCAGCAATCGTGGGGGAGTTGGGGCAGGGACAGCTGCAGTGTTGGCGCGTTGCTTGCGTGTTGGCGGAGGAGGAGTCGTGGGGTGCGGCAGGGAAGCAGGTGAGGTTGCCGGCTGGAGACATACGCGACATTGCGTCGGCTGGTGGACGCATGTATATGATTGCGCGCACGTGCGCGCGCGCGCGCGCGCGCGCGCGCGTGTGTGTGTGTGTGTGTGTGTGTGTGCGTGCGTGCGTGCGTGTGTGCGTGTGTGCGCGCGTGTGCGCACATGTGCGCATATGTGCGGGCTCTCACTGGAGTTGCGAAGCCGACCCTGGGCTGGCACCATGGCTGGCTATCAAGTCCCCGGCCTATTCGTTACCCTTGCTGCGCCAGCCGCTCGATGCACCAGGCATCGGCCATCTGCAGGCGGTGGCAGCCAACATCATAAAAAGGTCATACACACGGCTCTGCGTAGCTTGCCAGGTTGTAATGTCCTCCAAGCAGCTGTTGACATGCAAGGAACCTCGCCTCGAACTTTGGAACTTTGAAAGTGTGAGTTACACACCAGGAGGGGAGGAAGGACGACGCGTGATTGGCCGCTAATTCACAATCACAAATGGGTAGTACATTCTTTACCCTCTGATAAGTCACGTTACAAAAAGGGCGGGCCGCACGCTGGCGGTGTGTCGACTCACCGTAGTACCTGGCATTCCCTCCTCGCAACGGTGTTCTCTCCTTATCATATTCAATTCATAAAAACTTGATTGCTGTAGTTGTTCTGTCCTGCTCAAATTCGGATATCTTGGCTTTCTAATTCAGTCCGGCCAACATCATGGGCAAGCCTCAAAATACAAGCGAAGACGCGGTAGTGTCGATAGATGTGGCCTCTAAGGTCGACGTTGGTGGAAGCCCTGCGGAAGAGCGGCGCCGCACGGCCACATGGTGCGCTCCCCTGCACGCCCAAGCAACCGCCTCCGCCGCAAACCGCGGCCGTGCGCCCTCGCTTCCCAGTGAATCAGCGCCCTCTCATCGTGCGATGGTGATGACACGTGCCTGTCCCTGTTACTTTCTGGTGCTGTGAGACGATCCCTTTGGTAGGGACTGAATCGGTCGCCCGCAGGAGGCAAGTGGGAACGCGACGCGTCACTACGGGCTGCGGCGCCCATCCGCCAGCAAGCCAAACTGCACCCGTGCTTTCTGCATTTGCAACCGGCCGCTGCAGGCAGGACGCAGCGTACCACTCTGTCACCGGGATGGTGGGCGCCGGCGTGCTGGGCCTGCCCAGCACGTTTGTGTCACTCGGATGGGCTGGTGGCATCATCACCCTGTTAATCAGCTTCTGGGTGTCCTGGTGAGAATATCACACACAATAAACCAATCTGAACCTGTCACCACAACGGCCGAGGGCCCGCGGCAGCGCCGCTCTCATGTGAAAGCGCATGCACCTGTGGAATCCTGAGGCGCCGCGCATGCGCTGCCGCGCAGCATCGCCCGAGCCTGCATGGTCGCCGCGGCGGCTGCCTGAGCGGGTGGCTGCCACTTTGGGGAGCGCCGGAGGGGCGTCCCCTTCTCGCAGCCAGTCCGCGATCAAAGACATGAAACGGTTCTCTTCACAGCACCGGGCAAACCGCTGCGCCGTACACAATTCACATCACTCCACCCCCCTGTGTCAAATTCTCAGTTGTTAATGCATGATACTCTGATTCGAACCCCGACAGGTATACCTACAGGCAGCTCGTCTACATGCACGAGCTGCCAGCCCCAGACGCCGACCCCGAGGCCGCCGCAGCGCAGCCCGGGCCCGAACCAGGGGCCAAGGGCGAGCAGTCGCGGGTAGTCCGCTTCGATCGGTACCAAGAGCTCACCACACACGTGTTCGGCAAGCGCGCTGGGCGGTGGGCGCTGATGCCGTTCCAGGTGCGCACGCCCCTGCGTGCGCGTGCGCACCCTGGGGGTTTGGACGGGAGCGGTCCCGCGGGCTGGCACCGCGCAGCAGGGGTGTCTGGCAGCAGCGTCAGGAACAACCCCGCGTGCGGCCAGGTTGCGGCGCTCAGCAGAAGCAAGCGGTGGTGCATGTGTCTGCGTGCGCCCTCCAGCCCCGCCTCCGCACACGCGCGCCGCATGTCGCACGCGCAAGGTCCGCACGCATGCTGTGTCCCACACCCCCCTCATGCCACCCACCACCCCTCCTCATTAACGCGCCCGCCCCCTCCTTGAAGCAACACAGGCCGCGGTCCTCGTTGGCATCGCGATCACGTACACAGTCGTCGGCGCGGAGGACATGCATGCGGTCGTAAAGGACTACAGCCCCGCTGGCGGCCCGCCAGCCATTCCCCTCTGGGCCTGCTTCCTCATCTTCGCCGCCCTCCAGCTGCTGCTGTCGATGCTGCCCGACTTTTCGGCTCTCGGCGTGGTCAGCCTGCTGGGGGCGGTGATGAGCGTCGGCTACTGCGCGATCGCCACAGGCCTGGCGGGGGCGTTCAGTGCGGAGGGCGGCGCGGCGCCGGTCGTGTATTCCCAACCGCTGACCGACCACAGCGCCATGGCGGTGACGAACCGGGTCATCGATGTGTTCGCGGCGATATCGACGATCCTGTTCGCCTATGGTGGGTGCACGTCTATCTGAGGGGGAGGATGGGGGGCAGCCGCCGAGCGGGAGCACGGCCGCCACATGTAGCAAGGCAAAGTGCGCTCTGCTCTGGCGCCGCCACTGGATGGGCGCAGCCGGGCAGCAGAGATGCACCCGGGCAGTGCGTGGCGTGACCGGTCATCGAGCCCTGCATCAGCAAACGCCTGGACACACACGAAACCACAGCAAGCATGCGTCACGACCTGCTGTCCCTCAAGCTTCCAACAAACCCCCGACCCCCACCGCACCGACAGGCGGCCACAACGTGGCCCTGGAGATTCAGGCCACCCTGCCCAGCCCCCCCACCGCCCCCCGCATGATGCGCGGCGTCAACGCCGCGTTCATTGTGACGGGCGCCCTCTACTTCGCCGTCTCGATCAGCGGCTTTGCGGCGCTCGGCGTCGGCACGGGGTCCAACATCATCCTGTCCCTCACCAATGGTCCCCTGTGGGTGCGCAATGTGGCGCGGATCTTCGTGGTTGTGCACGTCCTCGCCGCGTACCAGGTGCGTGCTGCGGCTCTCTGCTGTTCGGGCCGGCGCCGCCCTGGGTTGCTGAGCTACAGTCTATCGTCCCCCTGGATGGCCGCGTCGGGGGCCGTGGGCGGCGCGCAGGCGTGCGCGTGGGCAGCTTCACTGCCTCCAATCCGCCTGCACACATCCACTTAGATTAGGATTGGGATTGTCGCAAGATCCCGCGGTCGCCCGGTCCTGGAGCCGCTTGAACGCCTCCTGGCCTCAAGTCATGTCCCACCTCCATTGCACTCAAGCCGCTGCCGCTTCCACCCCCACCCCCTACAAAACCATAGCCCCCAAACCCTAAATTCTACCCCTGAACCCTAACCCCACAAAACCACAAACAGGTGTACACCCACCCGGTGTTCGACTGGATTGAGAGCGCCGCCGGGAAGCTTCCCGCCGTCGGCCGCGCTTTCAGCTACGGCAGCTGGGCGTCCCGCCTTGTACTGCGCACTCTGTACGTGGCGATTATAACCGTCGTGGCCCTGTTGATCCCCTTCTTCACGGACCTCATGGCGTTCATAGGCGCGGTGGCCATCACCCCCACCACCTTCCTGCTGCCGCCGCTGCTGTGGCTCCTGGTCAAGCGGCCGCGCCGCTGGGGCGCGGAGTGGGCGCTCAACTGGGTGCTGGTCGTCGCGACGGGCGTGATAGGGGTGCTGGGCGCGATCTCGGGGCTGTGGCTGATCGTCTCCCACGCCAGCAGATACCACTTGTTTGCTGCCTAGCCAGGTGCAAGGAGCAGTGCAGCACGACACGACGCTTTGCGGCAGCCAGGGCTGCTTGCGGCTGCCTGCACAGTGAGAGCGTGCTCATGCAGCCAGGGCCGACACCACATGCTCCACCTGCAGCGCGTGCGCGGG